GCCGAGCAGGGAGCCCGATGCGGGACTCGATCCCGGGACTCCAGGATCATGACCCGAGCCGAAGGCAGTCGCTCAACCAACTGAGCCACCCAGGCGCCCCATATTTCTCTTTATAACAAACTGCCAGACTGTTTTCCAAAGTGGCTTTACCATTTTGCCCAGTAATGTAGGAGGTTTAGTTACCCTGCATCTAAGCTAGACTTGATTCTGCTGGGTTATGGTGCTTATGGATTTATCCACTTATTTTCCATTTTAATAGGTGTGTAGTGGCACCTTCCCTGGCTTTAATTTGCATTTCCTTGGTGACTAAAGATGTTGAGCATCTTTTCATATGTTTATTTGGCATCTGGAGGCCCTCTTTGGTAAAGTGTTCATATCTTTTGCCCATTTGCTAAAAATTGCGTTATTTTTTTCGTATTGAGACTTGAACATGCCTACAACATGTATTCTGGATACAAGTCCTTTACTAGGTATGACATTTGCAAATACTGTCTCCTAGCCGGTGGCTTGTCTTTTTATTTTTTAAACAGTGTCTTTCACAGAGCAGAAGCTTTCTTGCTTTGATGAGGTTCAGTTTATCAATTTTTTCTTTTATGGATCTTGTTTATGTTTTCGTATTTAAGAAATCTTTCCCTAACCCAAAGATCTATTCATCACTAACAGTAACATGCAGCTGTTAGTAATTTCTGTTGGCTCTTTCATTGAGTGTAATTTTCACTGACTGGTTTTTAGTATAGTATTTCTTTGAGTATAAAACACACCATTTAGAAAAACTTATCATTGGGATGCCTGGCTGGCTTAGTTGGTGGAGCATGCTACTCTTCATTTTGGGGTTGTAAATTGGAGCCTCACATTGGGTGTAGAGATTACTTAAATAATAAATAAATAAATCCAAAAAAATGTATAATTCAAGTGTAATTGACATACAATGATAGTTTCAGATGCACAACTGTGATTTAGTAACTACATTTCTCAGTGCTCACCATGATAAGTGTAATCACCATCTGTTACCGTACATTACTACAAAATTATTGCCTATGTTCCTAGATACACCATTTTTTAATGAGCCTCTAATAAAACTAAAGCAATACTTCATTTAAGCTGTGTTGTACCATTGAAGTATTAGTTGTAAGGTATATTCAGATATCTGAGATAGTAAAATATGGGGCGGGGAGATCTTTTACAGTCAGTGAAATATGGGTTGTTGTTTTTTTAGTTTGTGGTCTAGGGTCGGCCATTGCCGTAGGTTTATTCTAGATCCTGTGAGAAATGCCAGAAGCTGGGATTTTGCTAATTGCTGAGAAGATAATTCCATGTTGTTGAACATGTTTGGGTGATTTCTCTGACTTGTGGCAAGAGGGAAACCTGTGTGAATAGGAGTGAGAAAACTCCTGAATATGTGTGTGTGTGGGGGGGAACTTGAGAGCACAGGCTTAGGAAGGACGGGGTGACCCACTGTGATAGCAAGAAGCAGTGTCGCAGAGAGGTCTCTCCCACCACCGATGGCGGGACCTCGGGTGAAGCGTTTAGTCGGCCCGGGTCTTCTCTTCTTCCTCCATGAAGCCAGGGCCGAGCGTTCTGTGGTTCACCAGCTCTAGGGTCTGGAGACTTATGAGACCAAAGACTTCGTGACTCTCAGACCTTCACAAACCAGCAAATTTTTGGATGTTTAACATCGCATTTCTCAGCCAGCCAGCTCTTGTACAGATGCCTGTCCATATGCCCCAAGCTTGTTGAATTCCCTCATGTTTGCCTAGAGAGGAATTCTGCATTGTTGGTCTGTGTTCTGGCCTGGAGCTCCCTCAGGATTGTTGTAGTGCCTTAGGTCCAGCCCTCTTTCCTTGCTGGTTGTCACATAGTTTACTGGACACTTGCATGGGGTAAGCACTGTCCATGTGGCTCTTACCTTCTCTAGGAATGAGGGAAATAAAAGTAATGACGGGTTTAACAATTTGCATGTTAGGTTATTTGCAGATAAATTCTAGAGGTTTTAGAGTTTGGAGTAAAAACAACATTGGAACTATGGGAAGTGGGATGAGAAGGGGAGAAATGAGCTTTCTCTTGCAGAGAATTGAGTGAATTTCTTCTGCTGGCGTAACGAGATTGTGGCTTAGGAGATGGCTTGGAAGGGGTCAACGAGCGAGGCGCTGTGGGCCAGGTCCTGTGTGTACGGTCTGCAGCTAGGAATAGCCTCTTCATTTTTAGGTGTTTGAGAAGAAAGCAGTGAATACTGTTTTGTGACATGAAAATTCTATGAAACTGAATTAGTGTCTGTAGTTGTGTTGGCACAAAGCCTTGCGCAGAGATTTGCATATTGTCTGTGGGTGCTCTTGTGTTACAGTGGAAGCTCCAGGTAGTTGGCGTGGGGGCAGTATTTAAGAAAAAGCTTTCCCTGGTTAGGAAGAACACTGTTCTGTGAGGGGTGGTAGTGGTACGTTGTCTAGCACATTCAATGAAGAAGCGTCAGGTTCGTGTGGACTATGCAGGGTGTAGCCTCTGACTTTGTACTAAAGTACGCTTGACTTTCCCTTCTTTTAACAGAGATACCGAACAAAGCCGTACTGCTGTAGCCTCTGTAGATACTCTACAAAAGTGCTGACTTCATTCAAAAATCATTTACATCGTTACCATGAAGATGAAATTGATCAGGAGCTGGTGATCCCTTGCCCAAACTGTGTGTTTTCTTCTCAACCCAAAATTGTGGGAAGGCACTTCAGAATGTTCCATGCACCTGTTCGGAAAGTCCAGAACTACACAGTGAATATTTTAGGTGAAACTAAATCTTCGAGGAGTGATGTAATAAGTTTTACATGTTTAAAATGTAACTTTTCAAACACTTTGTACTACAGCATGAAGAAGCATGTGCTGGTAGCCCATTTTCACTACTTAATTAACTCCTACTTTGGCCTGCGAACTGAGGAAGTGGGTGAGCAACCAAAAACCGAGGATAGCCTTTCTACTGAGAAGATGCCACCGTCTGACAAGTATTATTGTAAAAAATGCAGCGCCAATGCCAGCAGCCAGGATGCTCTAATGTATCATATTTTGACGTCAGACATACACAGGGATTTGGAGAATAAACTTAGATCCGTGATTTCAGAACATATTAAGAAGCCTGGACTTCTGAAGCAAATGCATATTGCCCCAAAGCCAGTGGCACCTTTGGCTGTACCCCCGAACAGCAGCGCCCCCGGCCTCGCGGCCACACCCCCTTGTTTTCGTCTTGCCTTGCCACAGAACAGCCAGAGCCAGGCCCTGGTCCCACCAGCGACCGTGGCCTCGGGCACTTCTGGGAGCCTCACCCGTTCTCCGCCTGCCGTGGCGCAGTCCCACGTGACTCTGGTCTCCAGTCCTCTGCCTCCCTCCGCTCCCCAGCCAGTCTTTCTTTCTCACGGAGTCCCACTTACCCAGTCAGCAAACCCTCCTGTGTTGCCCTTGAGTCAGCCAGTTGGACCTATAAATAAATCTGTTGGAACTGGCGTCCTCCCCATAAACCAGACCATCCGCCCCGGGGCTTTACCCCTCAGCCAGCCTGTGGGGCCTGGAGTTCTTTCTGTCAGCAGACCTGCTGGGCCTGGCGTCCTTCCTGTCAGTCCATCTGTCACCCCCGGGGTTCTTCAGGCTGTCTCACCAGGGGTGATTTCTGTGAGTCGGACAGTCCCGTCAGGGGTCCTTCCTGCAGGCCAGATGACCCCTGCTGGGGTTATCCCTTCGGGACAGACAGCCACTTCTGGGGTTCTTCCTGCTGGCCAGGTGGTCCAGTCAGGGGTTCTCCCCATTGGCCAGACGGCCCCGTCAGGGGTTCTCCCTGCTGGGCTGACGGTCCCGCCACGGGTTCTCCCTCCTGGCCAGACAGTCCCACTGAGAGTGCTGCCTGCCGGCCAGGTGGTCCCCCCTGGGCTCCTTTCCCCAACCCAGACAGTCTCGTCAGGCGTTCTGCCTGTGAACCAGGGTATCAATTCTGGTGTTCTTCAGCTTAGTCAGCCTGTCATGTCAGGGGTGCTCCCTGTGGGCCAGCCAGTGAGACCTGGGGTTCTACAACTTAACCAGTCTGTGAGCACCAGCATTCTGCCTGCAAATCAGCCAGTGAGACCTGGTGCTTCTCAAAACACCACGTTCCTCACATCAGGCTCTATTCTCAGACAGCTCATTCCTACAGGGAAACAGGTGAATGGAATTCCCACATACACACTTGCCCCCGTGTCTGTCACTCTGCCTGTGCCTCCAGGAGGTGTTGCTACTGTCCCTCCGCCCCAGATGCCCATCCAGCTGCTGCAGTCGGGCACAGCTGCCCAGGTGGCCAGCTCCATGGCCAGCATGCCGTCTCCTCCAGTGGTGGTAAACGCCACTCAGAGTATGTTTGTTCAGGCCTCTCCATCCGCGGCAGAAGCGAACCAGGCGCTCAAACAGGCGAAGCAGTGGAAAACCTGTCCAGTTTGCAACGAGCTCTTCCCTTCCAACGTCTACCAGGTTCACATGGAAGTGGCTCACAAGCACAGTGAAGCCGGGTCTGCTGAGAAACCGGAGCCTGAGAAGCTGGCTGCATGTGCACCATTCTTAAAGTGGATGCGAGAGAAGACAGTTCGGTGTCTCTCCTGTAGATGCTTGGTGTCCGAGGAGGAGCTTATCCATCACTTGCTCATGCACGGCCTGGGGTGCGTGTTCTGTCCGTGCACTTTCCATGACATCAGAGGTCTTTCAGAGCACAGTAGGACTGTGCACCGAGGGAAGAAGAAACTACCTGTGGATTACAGTAACAAAGGCTTTCAGTTGGATCTCGATGCTAATGGCAACCTGATGTTTCCCCATCTTGATTTCATTACCATATTGCCAAAGGAAGAGCTTGGGGAGCGGGAGGTCTACTTGGCAATCCTGGCTGGGATACACTCCAAGTCACTCGTGCCCGTGTACATTAAGGTGAGGCCGCAGATAGAAGGTGCCTCTGGGAGCCCCAGCAAACAAGCACTGACTTGCCCCTTTTGCTTTGGCACCTTTGTGACGACTGAGGCGTATGAGTTGCATTTGAAGGAGAGGCACCACATCACACCAACTGTCCACACAATTCTGAAATCTCCTGCGTTCAAGTGCATCCACTGCTGTGGGGTCTACACTGGCAACATGACCCTGGCAGCCATTGCCATCCACCTGCTGCGCTGCAGAAGTGCCCCAAAGGACAGCAGCTCCGACCTCCAGATCCAGCCAAACTTGATCGAGAACAGCGAAGTGCTCTTAGTGAACGGTGAGGTGCTCCATGACTCCAGCTTTTCTGTGAAGAGAAAGCTGCCCGATGGCCACTTGGGGGCAGAAGACCAGAGGGACGTGGAGGAGCGACCTCTTGTCATCAGCAGCGATGCAGCCCCGGCTCCCGAAAAGGTGGCGAGTGTGGTGCCTTTGAAAAGACAAAGGAATGAAATCAGGACAGAGGGGTCGCTTGTTAATGATGATGCTCTTCAGATTTTAGCATTAAACCCTAAAAAATATGAAGACCGTTCTTATGAAGAAAAAAAGCAATTTCTTAGAGATTATTTCCACAAGAGACCATATCCTAGTAAAAAGGAAATAGAACTTCTTTCATCCCTCTTGTGGGTGTGGAAAATCGACGTGGCTTCATTTTTTGGAAAAAGAAGATATATTTGCATGAAAGCAATAAAAAATCATAAGCCTTCGGTACTTTTAGGCTTTGATATGTCTGAACTTAAAAATGTTAAACACAGGTTGAACTTTGAGTATGAGCCACAAAACTTGTAAAAAAACAAATTAGGAAATCTAAAGTACTAGATAATTAGTGGTTTTTTCCAATTGAGATTTAAAAAAATGTTATTTTCTTCACTGTATGTTGAACTAATCAATTTCAGTGGTCTTTATGCTGCTCTTTAGATTTATTTCAGGTGCTCAGAAAGACTTCTATATAAAAGAAGCGAATAGTTCTCTCAAGTTTATTGTTTCCTGCAGTTTGATTTTGTGAGAAGTATTTTAGTTCTTCCCTGTCATGTAAATTAAATCCTTGGATCTTTCATGCACGTCTTGTTTCCCAGTAGTGTCAGTACGGTAGGATGAAAACTGAAATCTATATGTTTGTGTTTTCGTTTAAGGAAATTTCAGCTTGTGTCAGAATACTTGATTAACTGCATTGAGCTTCCTCAGTTAGCTTCACGTGTAGCAGCAAATGGTAAGCGTTAGTGCTGAGAGAAGTGAGTACACACCCCGCTGATGTGTGTGGTTCCCTGAGGACGCACTGCATTAACTTAGGCTGGTTTCTTCTTCGCAAGGTACTTGCTTACTAGATTATGATTTTGATCTACATTTCTTCAAGTTTGTCCTAGCAGCAGTTGTCTTATTATAAATTCTAGAAAACCAAATGTTTTCCTTTGTTAAAATTACACTGAATCTGAAGCCCGCTATTTAGCTCATAAGAGTTATTTTACAAATACAGCAATTTGGTAGGTGCAGAAATACTTCTCAGTGTAGACTTCTCCCCTTTTTGATACGGTTGTAAGTCATTTCTCCATTCAAAAGTAAGACAATAAATTTTTAGTGCCTTTAGAATAAATGCTGAACACACACACAAACTCCTAACCTAGCTGTTGATAAACCAGTGAAAGGGAAGGACCATGTTACTCAGGAATACAATTTTTACCCCTGAGTGTGGATACTAACTGAAATGTAGACATAGGTTTTCAGGGGACAAAGTGAAATGAGTAGAGCAAGAGCCGTCTCCACGTTGGTGTATTAAACCTTTGACAGTTTTCCTAGAGGGGAACATGTTTGTTCTGGAGAAATGGGCCCAGTTGTCTGGGTTAATGGGATGCTGTATTGCTAAAGAACTCCACTGTATTCCTGTCCTTTGTACAGTTAAACCTCTGGGGTTCCCCCCGCCCACACACAGAATAACTCAAAGCACCAGAATCAGCAATGGAGACCAGTCACTTTAGACCTTAAGTCCTATTCCTGGTGACATATGGCAGAGGCAGCTGTCCAGCACACTCAGAGGATGTGACAGTCTCTGGGAAATAAGATGATGTTACCATATGGATTTTAAAACATAGAATACTTGCATGTAATTGCTATAATGTGCATTTTTGAGGCAGTTGTGAAACTGGTCTGTGATTGTTGGTGTGCTCTGTTTAAATCCAAGAAGAGCTTGTTGAAGTTTATTTTTTTTTAACCTATTGTTTCAGAGTGTCTATTTTGAATTAAAATTTGTTATACCACTGCAAACAGAACCGTTTAATTCTTTTAACAGGTACGTCATTGACTCAAGAGTAATCTAAATGTGGAAATAGATACCACGCTTGTTTGCTAAAAAACATTGCTTGTCACTGTGAGAGTTAGCATAACCCAAAAGTGCTAAAAAACACTACTTGTCACTGTGAGAGTTAGCATAACCCAAAAGGGCTAATGAGTTACCACTGTCCCCACAAGAGACGTGGCTAGAGATTCTTGATGTGTCTGTAATGCTGGCCTCCAGACGGTCAAAGCGGATGTTGGGTAGCCACGACCCTGCCTGTATCGAGGCTGCGCTGGGAGTGTCATTGTGGTGGAGGCCAGGTTTGGAGGTGCCAGTGGGCAGTTTGCCGTGTTGCGGGGGGGCTGGAGGGGCGGTTAACCCACCGTTCTTCAGTCCTGTGGATCAGGGTTTCTGTTGGCATTTGGGGGGAACCTGTCCATTGCAGTATTAGAGCAGCGCCCCTGGCCTACACCTGTTACAAGTCAGTGGTCCTGCTGCTCCCCCCTGGCCCCCATTATGACAGCCAGAAATGTCCGCTGTTCCTGGGGGGCAGAATCCGCCCTGACGAGAAGCACTGTGACAGAGGAATTCTGATCTCTAATTGTGTTGTTGCTGTTGCTCAGCCTTTGATGCCGAGTCTCTGTGTTGTGCTGGTCGCTGGTTAACGATTTCCTTTGATCCCTGTTTCCCCGCCGCCTTTCCCCACATCTGCGTGCTGCTTCCAGAGGGGGACTCCGTCTTCCAGTCAGACCCTGGTTGGGAGGCCTGTCTGTCCACTTGCCTTAATCATGGGATGGCAGTTTCTCATGCAGCTGAGGGATCTGGACACGTCGTCTTGGGTCTTAGCCTCACTTGAAGGCTCATGAACGTTTTCTTTAAAAAGCCACAGGTGAATGACCTAGGAAGGGCAGAGGCGTGAACTGGAACCCAGCAGAAGGCCGGAGGATGGCTGCCACGGCGTCTCCCAAGGCTGCCAGTGCAAAAGGCGGAGCGGGGGCCACAGAGTTGTGGGGAGGAGGTGCCTTCAGCTTCTGCTGTAACAAGGGCAAACATGTGGATGGCAAGCAGCACCGCGATGGAAGCTTGCAGGGCTGGGTCAGACAGGCCAGGCCAACAAGCAGAGGTGGCTGTGTTCGAGGACAGTGCTGGATACAGTAGCAGCGTTGGTGCCATAGTTGAAGATGAGCTGGCCCCATACCATGGACACTGGCATAGTGTGGGCCGGCCCACCTGTCCGCCGACTCTGCCTTCCCCTCCATCACGGAGACCAAACAAATACTCTGTGAAGAAGCCAGGCTCGTCCCAAAAAGCCAATGGGGAGCCAGAAGACCCTTGTCCACATACCACCAGATAACCGCAAAAACAGAGACCCTGCACGGCTGCTGTAGCTCCACACTGGACTCGTATTTCTGGGCATAGATGGTTTTCCAGAGCTCTTCTAGAATGGTCCACATAGCTACCAGGAAAGGGCTGTTGCTCATAAAAAACCGTTTGCTACCTGGCCTCCTCCGTGTTGGGTGCACGTTATCCTTTCCTCAAATTCAGGTTAGTTTAATCTCCCTTGCAAAAGTCCACGTGGTTCTTGTTCCTTATAAGGTTCTGAGGTAAGAGCTCTGGAAGTGCTGTGCTGAGTTGATACCTCGCCAACCTTCTCTTTCAAGGCTGCCAGTAGGTGCGCTCTCTCGGATGCAGCCGGCGAGTTCCAGGCGTGTGCGGCCACCCGCCTGCTCTTACGCCCTCATCTGACAGCCCCTTCGATCTGGTGATTACTATGTGGGTCTAGATTTCTTAAGAGTTCACTAAACAAAGCAACACAGAACTCTAAGAAAAAGAAGAAGAACTCGGCCTCAAGCCCCAACCTCGTTTTTACTTTAGTTTTAGGCAGTGTTTCAAGACATTCGTTAGCTGTCCACTGTTGCTAGGAAATGGGCTGAGCACTTCAGTAATAGTACCAATGATAATGTCACAGTGTTGTGCTCTCTCCAGGGCAGTCTGCACCCTAACAGCTGGTCCTCACAGCACCTCTGCAACTTACACGGGAACGGATGCATCCAGGGGCCACGTGTGCTCACTGTGGGGAGCCAGGAAAGTGGAAGGGCAGCCTTAATACTTGGGAGGAGAGCTTTACGCTCTTGATGGGTAAGATGTTGCCTCTTACTCTGCATTTCACAGATGGAGAAATGGGGTCGGAGGCGGAGTGACCAGCTGTCCAGTTTGCTCTGGACTTCCCATCCAGGCGAGTGGGGACAAGTTGGTCACCGTACTCAAGGCCAGTTTACTCCCCACGGTGACCTGTCCCTTACGATGGTGCAGTACTCCCTTTACTACTACACCTACTGTCTCCAGACACAGACCTGGCTCTTGGTGCGTCCTGAGGAAGTAGAAAGACCTTATAAAATTGACAAAAATCACTAAAAATCTGTTGTGTCTGTCCACCATATTGTCATACTCAGAACAAACACTGATCTCTGGACACGTTTTGAGGGTAAGCATCTAGAAGGTGCTAAGTGGTAGCTCGGGGAGCTTTTCATAGCCTTTAAAGAAGGTGCTTCCTTGACCACTTTTCTTTGTCCCACACAAAATCATGAGTTTTATGTTTATTTTTAAATAAAAATACTTGAAGTCCTTTTCAGAAGGGAAACAAACTACAAACAAAGATTGTGTGGTCTTCCATTCAAATATAAATTCAGGGGGCGCCTGGGTGGCTCAGTTGGTTAAGCGACTGCCTTCGGCTCAGGTCGTGATCCTGGAGTCCCGGGATCGAGTCCCGCATCGGGCTCCCTGCTCGGCAGGGA